AACATAAACGAACCCTATAGCTTTCTTTTTCACGTATTAAGCAAATCTCTCGGTAGTTGTAACTTTTCAATCGTAGCTTCGATTAGCGTGTCTCTTGCGACTGTGTTCGTATCGATGCGTAGAACCGTATTTCAATCTTTTTCACTTATTTTTCTATGATTGGTGTACTGTTCTGATATAGATGCAACTATATGCTATGCATGTATGTGTATGGATGTTTGTGTGGTGTTCTACGATTGTCTAGTCAGTGAGATACACGTGGTGATCCAGAAGAAGAAGAAGAAGGACGTGAAGAGTAAAGCTTACTGAAGGATCGGTGTATAAGGCAAGTATAGCATGGGACATCCTTGTTACCTATTCACATTTAATCACTAAATACATATTGCATGTGTCTCCCTTGTTACCATTAAGGACATCCTAGATATTTGATATCTTGTACCTTGAAACCTTTGGGATATTGCATGGGATAGTTTTTGCTAGTGCTTAATCAAAACCATGATCTTTTAACTTGACTAATGATATATGCAATAAACATTAAAACATGACTTTTTAGTAACATGGAATCAGGGGGCTGGAGTGTTTATATGCTTCAGATTCCTCTCCCTAAGGACTTATCTGTAAGCGATCATCCGGGACTTACAGTACAGCTGTGAGGACCATATGGCTCTGGCTTGAGCTCAGTATGAGGATCTTTTCTAGCTTGTTAGTGGTTACCTTTGAGGCGCAGGGTATGTTTCCTTTGCTGCTAGGAAGTGTGTACCGTGCTGCGATGCCCACGCTTGCCACTCCTAGAGATGGGCCACATACGCCTGGCGGCCCTAACTTGTTAGATGAATTCTTTGAAAGGCTTCATAGTGAACCCTGCCGACCTTCCTTGGAAGTGGGTCAAGAGAATAGCTACCTCGGGCGAAAGGGTAAATCACAACTCACAGTGAACGTGTACAAACTCTACAGAGTATAAAACTATTATAACAGCCGTGCTCACGGTCACGAGCGGCCTTGGACCCTTATGGAATAGAGATGATCACTAATGGATAATGATGATGCTAATAATTGATTGTTTATGCTATACATTATTCATGTTTACCTGATCATGTGTTTATGGGCTTATGAATAAACTTGTTGCTACCCAAATGCTAAAATTATGGTAATCAAAAGCTAATCGCAGTTAAACCAGTGTCAGCCTTTTGAGCCTCATGAACCCCATGATATAATTGTTAAGTACGACATGTACTTACGGTTGCTTTATTTTTCTATACATTGGATAAAAATCCCGGATGGGTACCAGATTATTGGTTTGGAGGAGTTAGGCTTGTGGTCAACCAGTCAGTCGTCCCTATGGATTTGGAGTCTTCGCCAGAAGATCGGAGTCAACTTTCCGCTGTCATTACTCTGAGGTTATTTTCTTTTTACTAATACGTTATGTAATAAGTATTGTCTCTTGATATTACCTTTATTTGTGGCTATATGTGGGATTTGACTTCCTGGGCTCACATATAGTGTGTATCTGGTTTTGTCTTTAAAACCGGGTGCTACAGTGACCGAGAATGACTATGCTATCATTGATCCCGACAATCCCACCAACCAAGACAAGACCAACAAGCAATGCAATATAATGGCTCTCAACACCATATACAATGCCATTGATTCTAAGGTGTTTGAGCAAATCAAGGATTGTGAAAGAGCTAATGAGGTGTGGAGGAGATTGGAGGAAACATATGATGGCACATTGGCACTGAAAAGTGCCAAGTTGTACATCCTCAAGGATAAGTTGACAAGCTTCAAGATGAAGGATGATGAGAGCATTCTGGAGATGTTCCATCGGTTGCAACTAATTGTCAATGACTTGAAGGCTTTGGGAGAGAAGATCAAGGATGATGATGTCTCTCATCGGTTCTTGATGTGCCTACCTCCAAGATTTGAGATGTTGAGATTGCTTATCATAAGAGAAGGATTGAAGGAGATTACCCCTAACCATGTACTAGGTGATGTCCTGACACAAGAGACATACTGTATGGAAAGGGAAGGGGTTGACAAGGATGACAAGAAGGAAGAAGAAGACAAGAAGAAGAAGAGTGTAGCATTCAAGGCTAGCTCATCATCCAAGAACAAGGGCAAGTCCAAGAAAGAATCAAGTGATGATGAGGATCTTAGTGACATTGATGATGAGGCCATGGCTCTATTTGTGCGCAAGATGGGCAAATTCATGAAGAAGAAGGGCTATGGTGCAAGAAAGAGAAGAGATCACACCAAAAGCAAAGAATATGTGAGAAGATGCTACAATTGCAAGAGCCCCGATCACGTTGTAGCGGATTGTCCCTACAATAGTGACAATGATGAGGATAAGAAGAAGAAGAACAACAACAAGAAGGAGAAGGAGAAGAAAATGACCTTCCAAAAGAAGAAGGGTGGAGGCTATGTGGTCACTTGGGATAGTGATGGCTCTTCGGATAGTGATGACTCTAGTGATAATGGCAAGAAATATATCAAGAAAGCACTAGCAAGCATCGCTATATGGGAGATGGACATACCACCGAAGTCATTGGGGTGAAAAATCGATACAAATATTTAGCTCCAGTGTCTTTTATAATGGTGCTCTGCATGTGACCACCCTTGATTCTTCAGTAAACACAGTGGACACAGAGGGAAAGGTTTGGAGAACTATCCCTACGCCCTAATATCCTATATTCATTGGGATGTCTCAAGGGTTCTTGTATGCTGTGCACGGTCCCAGGTACAGCTCTCAGCTGTCAATTTGTGTTCTCAAGGATTATGGTGGCAAAGAGTGGAGTTTAAAGCAGACTATTGATTCAGTTGAATTATTTGGAACACATAATATTTTCTTTGTAGATGGTTCTCCACCTAAGGTGATTGCAATCCATCCAGAATGTAGTTCGGTTTTGATGATTCTGGTGCTGCGTGGAAACCTTGTGTCCTACAATATAGATAACAGAAAAATGCATGACATCTGCAATCTTGCAGACCAATCTGTGGACCCGTATCTACCTTACATCCCTTGCTTCGCAGAATGGTTTTCAGATGGGCACTAAAAGATGCAGCATCTTGGTGCCTTCATGCATGGTTAGTGTAAGGTATGGGCAGGTGCTGGATTCATCATGTTTGTGCTCCTACCTACTGGGATGTTTCCATGGAGTTAGTTTCTCTATTTGCTTTGACTTGCTTAGTGTCGTGAACAAATGTCAGTTTCTCTTCCTTAAAGAGGTAAACGTGAATGAACTGGTATCGTATGTCTGGAAATTGTATTATGCAGCATTTTGATTCTCTTATCTATTTGTTAAGGATGCTTTGATGAACTGAGTTAATCTATTTGCTTTCATTTGCTAAATGTTATGGACAAAACCATATTTGATCAAGTTTTAGATTCTTTTATTTTAATGTTTGTGTCGTGCATGATCTCATTAGCTATCCTTATTGGGGAAAAAATATATTAATGTCTAGTAGGGTTTTTTGTTTGATGGTAAACATCTAGCAGTAGTTTTTCTTTGAAGTTCTGAACAAGACACAAGAAATACCTTTTTCGCCAAGTCCAAGCATGTATGTTTATATACTTACAGAAAGACATTTTGTTCTACTCTTTTCCTTTTTAGGAAACAGCTCTTGTGTACACATTGACTTTATTTGCTGAGCAGAATTAGCGAATAACAAAATTAATACATCGAATAAGTTTACCAGGAACCCTTCTTTCATTTCAAGCAAGGTGATTATGGGGCCTTGAATGTTTGCCTCATATAGCTGTTTCTTGTTTTTTTTTTTTTTGACACGAGGAATCTTCCCCATTCCCATTGCATCCAATGGAAATACAGCATTCGAAAGATTACAGAAAGCAGTTCAAGACATTAAAGAAGACTACCATAATCTGCCCCCACAACTCGCCTGCATCAGACGACTACCAAAACGATAACTAGAAACCAGACCTCAAAGATAGGGGAGCCAACCCGCTACACACATTTAACAAAGTAAAACGGGAAAGGTATAGCTGTTTCTTGTAAATTCAAGTCCTTTGGATTCTCTCATTTTGTAAACAGTATCTGACTACAGTCCTAAACAAAAAGGCCATCTGATAAAATCTGGTTATTTATATAAACATAATGTCGAAACTCAAATCTAAATCAATGGTCTTGTCTGGATTCTCATGAAACAAATAGTGTTGGTTATTCTATTCTCAGGATTATCTCCAGTTTGATAATGTTTTTTTAAGGTTAGTTATTTTCATCCAAATATTTAGTTGCTCTTACAGCATATCCAAATTGTGAATTTTGTTTTGACCCATATGGCTCATAAATCGTGCCATATATGTGTGGTATATAAGTATGGGTAACCAGGTTCTGTCAGTATGTTTTCTGTCACAGTTGTCTCCACAATACCATTATGAAAGAAGCTTGGGCTTCAGGCTATCTGAAGAAAGCTCAATGTCACTATTGCACTATATAGTTTGGGTCTAGCTCAACATCAACTGAGTTTCAAGATAAGTTTGGCGTAGGCTAGACCAGTTTGCATAATGGTTTTGTGGGTATCAATGTTTTCTGATCGGCTTATCGTTCCTAATCGGTCTGGTACCGATTAGGACGATCAGGACGATTAATCGACGATCAGGACGATTAATCGACCTCTGATCGGTCTAATCGTCCATATAATCATCTAGCATATAGCAGGACTATATAAGTATATATCATATATGTATGGTATATATATAATATACCATATACTATATATTTATATAGTAGACATCGAGCATATTTCTGGAGGCAGTGCTGCTATACCCTTTTCTACAAGGGCTGAAACATCTGGAGCTGCTGAGGATGTTGAACCAGCACCACCTGATGCAACTGATGAGCTTGCACCAGCACCTCCTTCAGGATTAGGCCCAGGCATGATGAGTTCCACTGCAAGCTGCCGCCTTCGATTTTCATCTACGCAAGTTCAGCAAAGAGCCAAAGAAACAAAGCATCAAGATTTGAGCATAGTGCAGAGAAAAGGAGATGACAGAAATGACAGAACAAAGCCGATTTAATGACACCTTCAGAGGAGGAGCTCATCTTCGTGCTCCTTGGACCTGCAGCCTGCAGGTGGGGAAGAGAATAAGCGACCCTGCAGCAGAAGGGAGGAGGAAGCAGCAAGCAGCAGGAAAGATCCACGGATGGGCTGCTTGGATTGGAACTGGAAGGGAGGGAGGAGGGAGTGAGATGCACGCAGCAGGGAAGAGATGGAGCTCAGCTGCACACACAGCAGGAGTGAGGAGTACTGAGGATTGAGGAGAGAAAGAGTCGGGGTGTGGTATTTAAGAGAAACCCTAATGGGCCTGGCCCAAATAAATATAGCCCAGTAAACTGAAGTAGCCCATCTGCCTATTTAGTGCTGATCGGCAAAGAGACCTAATTGGATGATTAATCGCGAGTAATCGACGATTAATCGGACGATCAGGTTTCTGATCGCTCTGATCGAATCGGAGGGCCTAATCAAGCGCTAAGTACCGATTCGCGATTAATCGGACGATCAGAAAACATTGGTGGGTATGTGAATGGTGGCTTTATCAGACATCAGTTTACTTTTAAGAAAAAAATGTGAGTGAGTGCTTCGGCTTAACAGTTAACACAGGTGGTTGTTTCACTAGATTTCAGGTTGCTTTGCATGAGGTTTAATGCTTTTTCATCTTGTTTGCGCTCCCACTTATTAATGCCTGCTACAAGTTTATGAAATTGAAGTTGACGCCGAATGCACATCAGTTTGGACCACACATAATTGTACCAAAAAGTTTGTGAAGTAAATCCTGAATGTTGAAGCTGGTCTATGCCAGTTTTTTTTTTTTAAGAAAGTCCATGCCAGGTTCGAGAAGTTCTTTGAGGTCTGTGCCTGGTTCTGTCCGAGTCCAGTTCAGTCATCTCGGACATCATTTTGGGTTACAATAATTGTTCCCAAAATAAATAAATAAAGTTGTATAGACCTGAACTGTGAAGACGTGCCTGGTTTGAGTAACTTGGGTGAAAGTTTGGCAGACTATCTAGGAGCAGAAAAATGCTCCAGGTTGCATCAGGATTTGTGGTATCACCCAGGAGCTGCAGCTGCCCATGCGTCCTGTGACATTCCGCACCGAAAACAAAAAGATGGAACAGCTTCCAGTTCCGCGTTTTCAGTCCAGCAGAATGGAACTACTGCATTTGCTAGGGAGACCTGGCTCCTCCCGTTGCACACAAACGGGCTGCAGCAACTCCTTAGGTCCCTCCGCGATTTTGTCGCATGGAATGGAACCTCAGGAAGGAGCGTAGTAACAGGCTGTTCCGTCGCTCGCCATTACAACCGCTGGCTTTGGTTGGCAGTTGGCTGTTGGCAATTATGCTAGATGAGGCCATAGGCTTTCTGTTATTGCCTTTTTCTTTTCTTGTGGTTTGTCTCTCTTTTTTTTTTTTTGGTTTTTTGTCGTTTCTTTGGTTACTGAAAACATGTTCTAAAAAAACAGTCGCAGTCCACTGCTGCTAGCAGATCAATGCTGAAATTGTGCTCGAGTCTGGCTTAGGGGACTTAGCAGGGCTAGAACTAGTCATGTGTATGGCTTAGGCCCCACGTTGGTTTAGAAAAACAACCAAATTACAAATTTCAACAAAAGAAAAGGGCTAACCTAAACAAAGCAACAAAACACCGCCATGGCTAAGCTCTAGCTAATCCAAGCAACCAAACACACCCAAATATTTTTTTTCACACTATTGGGACCATATGCATGGCTGATCCGTGGACTCTACAAATGCTCGCAAAGACTGAACACAAGATGCATGATAATTGACAGCTAATATACCTTAGTCCCGAGTAACCATCTGACCTAATATTGTTCTTATGAAGAGTAATTTAAAGATAGCAGAGAGTAGAGACAAATGTAATATACAATGAGGAGTCAATCTGGCTGGGTGGACGGCCGCATCATATGTCTTGCCGCTGCCCGCTGGGATCCATTTGGATGCAGCCCTGGCCTCCCAAAATGAACCCCTCGCGCTAGCACCAGCTGCCTGGCTTATAATCTAGTGCTAAGCATCAAATTGGGTTGGCTAGCAAATTATATACAAGTATGCTTTACGACCTTTATAGCTTATTTTTCGTGTCTTAACATTTTTGCTAATAGCTGGATACCAGGTAAAATATGGCACTTTTATATTTCCACATAAGGAAATAGTTCTTTTTATCAATCACGTTTCAATTGTGGCTATTAAATATTTTGAGATTTCTCTAGAAAAAAATATTATGTTTTTAAATCTAATTAAATGGGAAAGGGAACTAAATATCATATGTTGATGATCCGAATCCAAACAATAATAATTAAAATTAAAATAGTCATATGTTATCATAAATATTATCAACCGAGAAAAAGAACCACCCAAGCCATTAGTCCACCAATCACCTATATAGATATTAGGAAACAGTTTTTTGTTGGGCTTTCCTCTCTTTAGCATTCTCAGGCACATGCTTTCAACCAAACGAATTGTATTCCAACTTTTTTGACCAAACGGATTTCATCAAATTTACATGCAACTCTCTGCAACACTATTTTCTAGACAGACTAATATGGTCTCCAACCAAACAGGCGTTGAATCCTCGTATTGATTTATGTACATTGTTACATAGCACAAACAAATCAGTATTAAAAATTTGCAAGATTTCTCAGAAACTGGATTTATCTACGCTCATGTCAGCTCACCTGAAACAAATGACTAGAAAGAAACCAAGAGAAGAATATAACTCTGACGAACTGATGGCACACGCTAAAAGCATGGTTTTCAATGGATATGCTCTGGAATAAACCCCAAATTTAGAACTCATCAGCCTTAAGGGCCATCCTTTATATGGGAGAGAATAAAGCCGGAAAGACAACACTGATGTCAAAAGAACGATTCTGGATGTTTATATGCCCTGTCCTTTTGTTAATTCTTACTTTCAGATCAAAACTCATCATATTCCTATCTGCCCTTCCTAAGGCAAGAATAAACTTTTTTTTTGTCTTGTGAGGCCACAATCAAGAGAGCATAGTACCATGATCATTCGTATTTGGTTGGTTTTGTTTTTCTGAATTCGACATGGAGTTTCTCCATAAAATTATCACTTGTTGAGGGCAGGAAAACCAATTGATCAGCATGTGATCAGAGTCCATGTCACTTGTAAAGTTGTAATGAACTGGAGTACTCCCATACCAAAGCATAAAATCCATTAGATACAAGTATTGACAAATTGAAACCAACCACTGTGTTATATTTAGGGCATGTTTGGATCACCTAAGATTAATTGTTAGTTTAGTTCATTAGTTAAATTAATAGCTAGCAGCTCCAAGAGTCTCTTTACACTCTCTGTACTGATAGAAATAGATATTTTGATAAAAAAAATAAAATCCTCCTCTAACAGCTTCTTAAAACTAGATCTCTAAATATTTTCATCCACTATTCATAGTTTGTCGCTAGACAAAATAGAAACAAAGCTAGCTCTTCAATACCGAACAAGATATAGAAATTATTGGAGTACGTGTTGAGAGATATAGAGAGTGGGTTTAGCAAAGACGGTTGGACATGCTCTTAGGTAACTAAGTTTAGTCCAATGTTGTTTGAATACATAGACTAGTAACTATATTAGTCCACTTTAGTTTCCCTTTACCAACTATAGTGAACTAATTGTTAGTTAAGATGTGGCTAAAACTTAGTCCATCTATGAGTCCACCTATTTGGATTGGTTAATACTAAGCTTTCCGTGACAAACAATTAGGTTTGATATCAAACATACTCTTAATATTATATTATTGATTGACATACACGTAAAGCCTGCTTGTGTTTTGATGCCTTCCTTTTCTTTCTCTTGGAACTTACACTGTAAATTTGACGCTCTTATAAGGTGTCAATAATATTCTTTGATGCCATCCTTCCTCTCTCTCTCTCTCTCTCTCTTTTGAACTGACACGGTAAGTTTTTTTTTTAAAGTTATCTGGTGTCAGAAATCCACGGCTCAGATGCATCCTGTCGTCGGGCTCGCCGTGCCAAGATTTGTGCAAAGATATATCGACAGAAAACAACTCTTGGGGCATATCCCTTGCATTGCTTTTATCAGCGAAAGGATAGAAAACAAATGAGACGAGACAGTGACCTTATTAATTTAAGCTTGAGAAAGCAACCTGCTGACACTGTATAGCTCAAAGAATATCCCATGGAATCAACCCTTTTCCAGTAGTCGTTGTTTGCCACCGATGGTTTCCGACTTCGGTGGTGCCCAGGAATATGCTGCTTGTGTACGCTTTGAATTTTAGTCACCGCTCTTTCTCTATCCATCCCTCGACCAATCTATTTTTTCTTTGCTCCCATCTCGACAGTACAAAATTTACTACATCCACTTGACCTACACCACACCAGTGCCCTATACAATGCACGTTGGACAGCGTCATGGTTTTTGAAATATATCTTTCGTTATAAAATAGTTTATCCACACGACAGAATCACACTTTTGTAAAACTATTCCTCAAAATAGATCTTTTTAAATAATGAATAAAAAATTAAGCTTTAACTACCCTGTGTCGAGGATGCATCAGATTAGTAGATAACCATCGCTATAAAGAAAAGCATGTCTTTGAGGCAAACCGTCCTAACTGAGATTTGCTATCAGCATGACCAAACCACCAAAGTGAGACCTAGATTCAACCGGCAGAGCGCACCCTAGATCCAACCAGCAAAGCGCACCATGAGACAATGCCTATCGACGGGTTTATGTATACAGGCAATCTATTCCAGTGTCGTACTCTGCCAGCAGCTACATAGAAAAAGGCGGGTGGGGGGAGGGGTGAGTCTTAGTGCTAGAAGCCTAATTTTCAAGAGCCAATGGAGTGGCATTTCCATCCCATGAAAGCTCTCAAGATAAAGAATGACTATAGACAACTAGAAATGTCACAGGAAAAATTCATACAAGTTTCTTAAATCTGGTTATGAACAAGTGCAGTTGCCTTATTAGTGTCATGTAGATGTAGTTAAATGCCCAACAAAACCTAATAGTGCACGAACATTAGTAGCGTTATACTCCCTCTATTCATGAATAAAGTAATTCCTAGAGTTGTCAAGTTAATAGTACACTAGGAATGGTCTGAGCGTCCATGTACTTCTGACCTCCTAAGGCGCCGCTAAGATGTGTTGTATTAAATTTTTTCTCTATCTTAATACAAAGATGCGCAAACCTTTTGCGTGATCGAGATAAAAAAATACTTTTAAAATTTGATCAACCTTATAAAAAAAAGAGCACCATGACTTATGACACTAAATTAGTATCATTGGATACACCGTAAATTATATTTTTATAATAAATTTATTTGGTGTCACAAATATTTATAATTTTTCTATAAACTTGAATACTCTATCAAATATATATATAAGACAAGTCTAGGACCCAGTGTGCCGTGTGCGGTAAGACACGAAAACAATTACAAGGACGCCGGGTGCGCGTAGCTAGGCACGATCTTTCAGAGCGCCCTGTGTGCCCTCGTGTCGTGAACACGCTTCGCTTAGCATATGCCACTAAATATTCGGAGAACCGCCACGGCCGACCTCCCCTTCTATATCACCCTTCGTAATCCATTCGGTGACCATCATCAGTAATTACTAGTTCTAAGCGATCGATTTGATCGGCAGCTAGAAGTTAGAACCAACGCAAGAGTGGAGTCGAGATGGTGCAGTTTGGCAAGTGGCTGAGGCGGCAGATCGAGCAGAGCCTCCCGGAGTGGCAGGACCAGTTCCTGCGCTACAAGGAGCTGAAGCGCTGCGTCAAAGCCCTCTCCGGCGTCTGCCCGCCGCTGCCGGCGGAGGAGGCCGAGTTCGTCGCCGAGGTCGACGCCGAGACCGAGAAGATCAACTCCTTCTTCCTCGACCAGGAGGAGGAGTTCATCATCCGGCACCGGGAGCTGCAGAACGACATCAAGCGCGCGCTGGACCCCAGAGCGGCGGGTGCCGTGGCGCCGGCGCAGCACGAGGCCGAGGTCGCCGCCATCCGCAGGGAGATCGTCAACTTCCATGGCGTCATGGTGCTGCTCCTCAACTACAGCAGCATCAACTACATAGGTAGGACTTAGGAGTAGTACAGAACTGAAAGATCTGTCCTTGTTCATGCATGTTCCCATGACGATTCTGATCCCATCCATGGCTGGCTGGCTGGCTGCTGCATCTGCATGCAGGTCTGGCCAAGATCCTGAAGAAGTACGACAAGCGCACCGGCGCGATGCTGCGGCTGCCGGTGATGGAGACGGTGCTGCAGCAGCCCTTCTTCAAGACGGAGACGGTGTCGCAGCTGGTGCGGGAGTGCGAGGCCATGATGGAGGCCGTGTTCCCGGAGGCGCCCGAGGGCCAGGCCGCGGCGGCGGCGCTCGCCGTCGCGGAGGCGGAGCAGAGCATCTTCCGCAGCACCGTGGCCGCGCTCCTCACCATGCAGGACGTCCGCAAGGGGAGCTCCACCAGAGGAAGCCACTCGCTGCCGCCGCTCAACCTGCCGGACTCCGACTGGCTCCGGTCGTTCGAACCGCCGTTTCCGATCCCCACCCGATGACAGTCAATTGTTGCTCCTAATTGGCTTGCCAGCCTCCTCTCCTCTGTTCTTTTTCGTCTTCTTGCCCCGCTTCCTAACTAATGTATGTAGCCTGTAGTCAGAGTAAAGTAAATAATGCAAGTTACTGAAATGAGAGCTGAGAGGACGTACAAGTTCATACTGAATTTGGTTCCAATTTTGTACAATCTGCTGTCAACTGTGAAACTGCTACTTTTCAAATTTCTCATGGACTCCTACGCTGTGCAAGATATCGCAATGTCAGAATTGGAGTCGGGTTGCGGTGTTGGATTCAGTCCATTCACACTGACAGAAGACGAGTTTATTTCTCGCAATAATAAAAAGGGTAAACGCAGATGGTTTATTAAGCCAAGGCATGATGGTGTTTGTAGCAGGTAGGAGTATGCAGAAAACTCTGGAACTTTTTAGGAGGCATCAGATTAGATTTTCTGATGTGGTGGCAGTGGCTCCTGATGGGTCAAAAAGTCAAAATGAGATCTGGGACGACGCATGGGCGATGGCAGCCTGATCAGGACTCAGGAGTCAATCCAGTTGTTAGGCCTTGTTTAGATTGGGTTTAGAAATCAGTATTTGGTACTGTAGCACTTTTGTTTGTATTTAACAATTATTGTCCAATCATTGCCTAACTAGGCTTAAAAGATTCGTCTCGTAATTTACAATCAAACTGTGTAATTAGTTATTTTTTTTATCTACATTTAATACTCCATGCATGGGCCTATTCGCTGGTTGGTGCTGGTGCTGGTGCTGGTTTGGGCTGATTGGTGCTGGTTTTTTGTGAGAGAAAAACACTGTTGACTGACTGGTTTAGGCTGGCTGAAACCAACCAGCGAACAGGCTGATGTGTCCAAAAATTTAATGTGATAAAGATAAAGTGAAAAAACTTACAATCCAAACAAGGGCTTAGCAGGAATTCTTCTTCGCCCTGCCCTGCCCTGCCCTGCCCTGCAGCTGCAGCTGCAGGCTGCAGGGAAATGGTGCTACATGACACACCAGCGATAACATAGTTTACTTGGTAAGCGGGGTGAATGGTTCTTGGGATAAAAGAATATGCCACAAGGACTCAAGGTGGTGCCAAAAACGAAATGACATGGAAAGGCGTAGGTAAATATCGCCCCATGCTCTGTTCCATTCCAGAGATTGGACTATTATTATGGTCACAATAAGCCAGAGTTTTCAAATTTAATAAGCGCAAGTGCAAACTGCTTGTCCAAGGGAGGAACAATGCAAGAACAAGTTCCCTCTCTAAATACAGTGTGAAAACATATACTAGTCGCGCGGTCGTTGTAGCTATGCCTACTATTTATACAAAACAAAAGGTCATTCGTATGTACTCTACACTGTTTATACTAAGGTCACTTTTAGAGTCACCCTGTAATAAGGAGAATGATTCCTCTCCGGTCTCCATTCCAACGTTTTTTGCCGTGTGTATGTACGTATCGTAGCACTGTCTCATGCCACGTCCAGAGGAATTCATGGGGAGGTTAGAAGATGGCAGGTGAGGACAGGGCAGGCAGATGAACAAGAGCCGACGTACTCGTCCAAGGATTCGAGCAGGATATTCCTCCAAATATGCTGCCGAGTAGTTGCTTCTTGAAGACTCTCTATTAGATACACGTCCTACTACTTACCTAAAATTGGGCACAAAGGATTATATTACAACTCTTTTTCAAACAGAGCTTCGGTTTATCAAGAGTCTGCCATGGTTGAAAGATTAAAGCCCCCTTTGGCACGGCTCATCCAAAACGGCTTCACCGGTGAAGCTAAAGCCGGTGAAGCCATAAAAACTGGCTTTTTTCGACTTCTAATTCATTTTAACCCCGGTTTACAAAACAGCTTCACGCTACGGTGCCTCGATTTGCGCAAAATAGATAAAGTCGAAGCCGACATAAGCCGTGTCAAAGAGGCCCTAAGACTTTGTTAGTGCTCGCAATGAAGTGGCAATGACAAACAAATGATCTGCTATATACGTGCTTTTTGAATGGAATATTTTTTATTTGAAGGTATAGACACATCTGTTCACAAACACGTGCTATCAGTGCGACACAACCGCTCACCTACAAATGCTATTATATTGAAAAATAATTATTCATGAACACAAATACCCAGGCTGGATCGAAGAATCGTCCTTAGTATATACAAATTCCACCGTAAGAAAGCTACGCTCAATTCACTGGAATGCATGTAACGAGCATAAGAAAGCTACGCTCAATTCACCGTAAGGACTAAGTCATGTCATTTTACATATACCGATTTACATACAATTTTACATAATTAACAAAGTTCTAATCCCTCACATTGTTTGTATGTGTACAGTCTTTTTTTTTTTGACAAATCTGGAGGGAACAAGGTCCCTACAGTAAATTTATTGAAACACATAAGAAGTCACAGAGAGTACAAAGGAGGAGGGAAGCAGTAAGCAGAAAGCAACAAGCTCAATAAACAAAAAAAATGAGCTCAATGAAGCTCCTCAAGCCAGACTTTGTATCCATGAGGTAAACTGTTCTGCTTGACTTGATTTAATTCTGTACTGGAGTAAATATAGCTCCTTAAAGAATACTCTTTTGCAATCTGCTAGATTCATCTGATTTCCTTTGAAGATAAGTTCATTCCTTGCAGTCCATATCGTCCAGCACATTAGAATAATGGCATCCATGAAGAAGGGGGAGTTTAGCTGAGTTTTTAACTGAGACACCAGCTCAGGAAAGCTACCATTCAAAGGTATGTCCATACCAATTATGTTCCAGCACACTGTAGCCATGGAGCAGTTTACAAAAAGATGACTCAGTGTTTCTTCAGTAGATTGCATAGCACACAGTTGTAAGAGTCTAGATGCATATTCCTCCTTTTCAGAATGTTCCTTGTACTTAACCTATCCTTGATTAACAACCAGAAGAAAACCTTGTGCTTTGGTTGACAGTTACTCTTCCAAAGCCATTTATAGGAGGGATGAATTTCAGAGTGGCCTACTAGAATTTTATATACTTTAGCAGAGGCAAAAACACCAGAACCCCAGCTATAAGTCCACTTATCATCTTCATCATTCAGAGTCAATGAATCAATCATTTGCTGGATATTTTGCATTTGCAGGTATGCAGTCTGTGAGAGGGGTAACTGAAACAAATCTGAAAAGTCTTCCTGGCTGAAGGCATCATGAACAGTAATGAGCTTATTGACTGCAAATGAAAAGAGCTCAGGTGCTGAAAGAGCAAGGGGTTGGTTTGTCCAGTAGTCATGCCAGAAAAGAGAGGTTTCACCATTCTGTACTTGGGGTTTGGCAAGGCTCTTAAAATCAGGGAGAAGTTTACTGTCTTATATCAGTGAAGTTACATTTCATCATGTTTACATCATCGCTTGTTCATGGATTCTTTTAAGGTCAGAAAAAAAAATGAAATGACCGTGTGTAGCACCGCCTTGCACCGGTGAACAAACGACATTAACTCCACTAGGCTGGTGCCACTCATTTATATATTTTTGTAAATTTCTTTAACATTTTACAGATCTAATAAATAATTCTTTAACATTTTACAGATCTAATAAATAATTTATTATCCTATTTTTGTATTTAAAGAAATTGTTGATGATATGTAAATTGACATATCGAGAATTCAATTAATATTTCTATTGTATTTGAAATATTTTTCATAAACAAGTGCATGTTGCACCAACATATTTGCTAATAAAAATCTCACTCTTTTTGCTCCCAAAGAAGTAGTCCCTTAAATAGACGGTAACCATCCGTGAGCCTGGTCCACTGCCTCCTCGTCGAGCGCACAACAGCCCACGAGGCCACGACTCCCACGACCCAATCAACCTGGCTACATGTTTGTTGGGCCAATAGACAATTAACCTTTATGTGTTAAGGCCCTGTTTGGTTCTCTAGTCCATAGACTAAAAGTTTTAGTCCACTTTAGTCGTGAACTAAAAGTGGACTAAAGTGGTGTTTGGTTCCTTGAACTAAAATGGACTAAAGTGGAGAGAGAGGGCAATAAATGAGAGACATGGGTGTCTCCAATACCTTTTAGTCCATTTTAGTCCAGTTTTGTGGACTAAAGGACTAAAGGATTTTAGTCCACTTTTAGTCCAAATGTTTGACTGTTTAGTCCAACTAAAGTACAAATTTTAGTCCAAAATGCTCCATGGAAACCAAACAGGCCCTAACTCTTTCTTCTATTGTTTTATGTTTAGTGGGCTTATCTACATCTTTTATTTTCTCCTAATCATAGACCTAGTTCTACAGAAGTTCAGGGTGGCGTGCGACTGTATCAATGTAGTGAAGAGTATCCATGGAGAGGGGATGGGGCTGTATGGCCCAATTGTGAAGGAGATCAAGGCGACAAAAGCAAGCTTCTCCCATGTGGAGTTCGTCCATGAAAGAAGATGTTCGAACGAGGATGCGCATAGATCAACAAGGAGCGTTGTGTCTATGGCTCCGAGTAGACATGTTTGGTTTCTGTCACCACCTGATGGTGTTTGTAATTCTGTTATGAGTTAATAAAATGTGACAGTTTTCTCAGAAAAAAAAGTATGTGTTTTTCCTTTCCTCAGAAAAAGTATGTTTTTCCCTTTTTATTGACTCTTTTTGTGTTTTTACCTTTGTATTTATTTCCCCATGTATTTTTTCATGTTTCCCCTTTTACAAAATTTAGTTTCTAGTTTCTTTTAATTGGCCTCGTGTTGTACTACCCTTGGCTCCTGTGGCACAACTTTAGTGAAGTAAAAATAAGCTTAGTTGTATCTCAACATACTGGTAATTATTCTTTTGTATCTAAATGACTTCAAGTGAAGATGAAAAATGATTACTCTCAAGTCAAAGGACTGTAACTTTAGTTTGCATTTTTTGCGAGGAAAAAAGGTTAATAGCTTATTTCCATCAAATTAAAGAATCATAAACTAATTGAGAGGAATTCTTACCCCTTTATATCTCAAAGAGACCAAGTATCTTTAAAAATGGATGATGAGGATTTGTAACCTTTTTTAAAGAAAAAAGGAATTATATTTTTAGTTTAAAATCTTAAGTGGCATACAAAGCATTTAAATGACCAAGCTAGGACAACCTCATATATAGTCATATACACATAATACCTAAAGAGGATATATTTTTTTATACCTAAAGAGGATATATATAGGTCCAGTCCAATTTAAAGAATAGGGCCCAATCTCACAAGAATTTTTTTTGAGCAAATCCAATCTCACAAGAATATAAAGGCTGAGTGGGCTCGGACTAGACGCAACACGGCCCATTAAAGTCTCTCTGGTCTGGCCCTTCCTGACTACTTATGAGGATAGTGGAAATCGGATAATAAAACGCTTCCAAAGCCAACAGGAAATCGGACACAACACGGCACCACTACAACACGGACAGGAAGATAAGAAAATTGAACACGGACATTAATTAACGGACTAATAAAAACAAACAAATAAATAAAAGGATTCGGGGAAACTCCCGTCCGTAGGGGACGGAGATCCGACCGAGCGGTGTCCAACGGGAGCTCAGTTTAGGTTCTTTTCTGTTTTTTATTATTTTTTTCCTTTTTAGTCGTATATTTTCTATTTTTAATTATTTTTCCTTTTCGAGTACACAGATGATCGACCAGAGCGATATATACTCATGTGCAAGAAGAGCAAATCGAAAATAAATCGACACGATCACAATGAAATAAGATACCATATGAACCTGTCGCCTTGGTGCTACTTCTTGGTAACACGGTCGCTAGAGCTGGGCCGTCGTTCCACTGGATCGAGCCGTCGGTCTGCCACGCCACTTTGCCTACACCTGCAGGCCACGCCGTGTCACCTGAGTGAGTTGCCGCATCACCTATACGGCGTGTATAAGTTTTTTAAGTCCTAAAATCTATGTCACATCAAATATTTAGATATATATATAGAGTATTAAATATAGACTAATTATAAAATTAATTGCATAACTTGCAACTAATTTGCAAGACGGATCTTTTAAGCATAATTAGTCTATGATTTGATAACGTGGTGCTACAGTAAACATGTGCTAATGATATATTAATTAGGCTTAAAAAATCATCTCGTAAATTAGCCTCCATCTATGTAATTGGTTTTATAATTAATCTATATTTAATGCTCCTTATTAATTAATATCTAAACACACATGAATTTTAGAAGCGAAACCCAACACCTTCTACGACGAGGGTGGCCGGAGACTATTGCAGTTACAGATCTCCAGTGTAGAATAAAGACTCGCGCTATGGGACCAAGACCAATAGCTGGGGGAGCTATGGTCGGTGCTCTTCCTTCGTACCACTGCATTGCTCATATGTGGGATGGTGGGACTTACGATAGGAGGCAAAAGAGAGAAGCATCCATGGCCCTGCACTCACGACCATGGCCATGGTCATCGGGAAGATGAGCCAGCATTGGTGTTTTTTTCATTCTGCGTGGGCCCTGGCTCAAGGATATTACAAACTCCGTGTATCACGTATTAGATTGGGACGAAGCTCATACAGATGCATCCGTCGATTTAATACAATCATTTCATCCATACATATTTGTTTTCATATCATAATTTCAATGTCGTTGTATATGATACATGCTTAGGCCCTGTTCGCTTCGCTGAAAAGCCATGACTGAAAGTACTGTTCACTGATTTGTTGTGAGAGAAAAATACTGTTTTTTTCGCTGAAATAGTACGGCTCATAAGAGAAGCGAATATGGCCTTAATTGCTTATCATAAATAGGGGCTCTTGCATTTTTACCCCTATTTTGTATCAAAATTATGATTTTACTCCTTTTTTTTTGACTTTGTGAATTTACCCCTGTGATTTCAAAACGAAGCACCAGTTTGCCCCTACTCCGTTATCCTCCCCTAACGGTGTTAAATTTTGTGTAAAAGGACAGAAATGCCCATGTGATTTTACCCTTATTTGTTATACCTATTTGTGATTGTACCCCTAATTTGCAATTAGACTTTTTTATTGTATGTTGACACAAATGATTAAATTTGGCCAAATATATTTTTGGCATAACTAGCAATTATTTCAACTCAAATTTAATATTGAAAAAAACATCAAAAAATTGGCAGCAATGGCACCTTAGCTCCAGGGCCTCCCTCTTCACCCCCTTGTGTGCGAACCCAGCAATGGCTGACCCCCACGCGATCACGTCCCTCTCAGGCATTTCCTCAAACACCCTCACCGCGAGCTTCACCTTCCTGCACTTGAAGTAGACGTCCGTGAGCCCAGTCGCATGTGTGGCTGTGGTCATGGTCATCGACGGCCTGGCGCTCCGGGAGATGGACTTGAGCACGCAGCTGTATTTGTACTCGTTGTCGTGGCCCCCGCGGCGCGCATCTCCCCGAACGCGTCAGCGGTGGGGCCCGCTGCCTCGCCGCATCCCCGGCGGACGTGCCCGTGCAAGAGCGCGTTCCACGAGTAGGCAGTCGCCCTCGCCTAGCGCTGGTGCATCCCGTCGAGCACCCTGCGTGCGTCGTCAGTGGCGTCGAGCGTGAGGTCGACGAGCCTGGCGAGGAGGAACTCATTGGTGTCCAGCCGGTGGACGTGGAGGTGCGCGTGGATCTAGCGCACGTGCGGGAGGGAGCGGCAAGCCGAGAGGAGCGCGGCAAAGGCGGTGGCGGTGGCCGGGACGTAGGATTGCAACCACGTGGCTATCTGCGCACCTTGACGCCAATCCTGTGCCCAGAAGAACAAGAGGCGGGCGCCCCTGAGCCGCACCTAGAAGAAGAACGGCCAACGCGTCTTCGTCGACGTGCACCTGAACCCCCTCGCGATCGCGTGGAGGAAGATGAGCCGCACGACCACCTTGCCCAGTGACTTGAGCTCGCTGAGGCACGTCTCCCACACGAGCCGACTGCTCTACTTGTTGGCGATCTTCATCTTCCCCGTCGCCGGGTCGGGCTGCCGGACCTGCACCGCCTGTGCGCTCAGCGGGTCCAGGCCCTCCGACCGCCACTTCATCAGCTCCATCATCGCCAGGTGTGCCATCTCCGGCGACACTAGCCTCGTGATCAGCCTGTCCACGTCCTTCTCCTGCTCCGGCGTCAGGTACTTGAACGGCGGGAGGTACCGCCCGCTGACGTCCTTGATGAGGTATAGCGGGTCTAGGATGAATTCCGCTGACCACGCCGGGTGGTAGCTCCTCCTGAACCTCCTCTCCAGCACGCTCATGGTGATGCCTTCGTCCATGTTAAACTTGCGGCACCTGCCGCCAGGCACCGCCGTTGCCCTGCTCTCGATGCTGCGCTGCCCGCCCCCACGCACCGCACCCGAGCCCGCTCCGCGCCGCCGCACCGCGCGCCCTAGGCCGCACCGCCGCCAGGCACCACGTCGACCTACACCACACGAGCCTGCATCGCACCGCCACCCGCTCCCGGTGGCGTGTGTTTGGACGAGTCGAGGAAGAGCCAGAAAGAGATAAGGGGCACTACGGTCATTTGGCCTTTTCTTTTTCAGGTTTCAAATTTTTTTAATCCATCTATTGCTTGGGTATTTGACGGACATCCAAAAGAGGGGCAGACGGACAGTTCAATTCAAAATAACAAGGGTAAACACACACAACGTTGAAATAACAGGGGCAAAATCACAATTGGAGTATTGGGCAAAGGCAAAAACACAATTTTCCCTAATAAATATGTAGTGTTATTACATATAAAGATATTTAGGGCGTCTTTAGTGCTGCTCCGGCTCTGGCTCTGCGGCAGTGGAGCTGCACCAAATGGTGACAGAAGGACAACGCTTCTGCGCGACGGGAGGAGCCTGAGCCCTTTTGCGTATGGAGGCAAGCCGTGATTTGCACCTCCGCCGCTCCGGCTTCGACGAGGGAGCAGCGCAGGCATATCCTAGCCAAACACGCTCTTATTATGTTATTAGCTGATACTGCCTATGTACAAGATAAATGCTAAGCTATAATTAAAGTCAGCTTGAGTTAGTTGTTTGTAAAATTAAAGTTATAATATATTTATGTCTAAATATTTTTGTGTTTTGCAATGAGAAAAAAATATGTAGCTTAATACATTTGATAGTTTTTTCCGCTGCAATCCACGGGCATCTTTGCTAGTAATACCTAAAGAGGATATATTTTTTTACACCTAAAGAGGATATATAGGTCCAGCCCAATTTAAAGAATAGGGCCCAATCTCACAAGATTTTTTTTTTGAGCAAACCCAATCTCACAAGAATATAAAGGCTGAGTGGGCTCAGACTGGACGCAACGCGGCCCATTAAGTCCCCCGGCGTCACTAGGCGGGAAATCTGACGCTTTTCCCGCCATTCTCCTCTTCCCGCCGCCGCCGCCTCCGCCTCCGCCTCCCGCCATTTTACTCTCCCCTTCCCAATCCCACCCTTCCCATATCCCACCACCTCCTCTCTCACTCCCTCTCTGCCCTCCCGAGCGATTCTCTGTGCGACCAAGCCATGGCCTCTAACGCCGGCGGCAGCTCCCCACCTTGTAAGATCTAATCGTTACCTCCTCTGCGGATCACATTTAATTTGATCTCCTTGCAGATTTCCTGATAAGATTTGGATTCCCGTGTGGGGGATCTCGTTTTTGCTGTTTTTGTTGCAGCCGCATCGTCGCCAGATGGTCGGCCGTCGAGCCCGCTCCCGGTCACCAACTCCTCCCCATCTCAGTCCACCCGCCGCTCCGGTGGGCGGCGCCGCCGCGGTTCCGCCAGCCCTTATGCTTCGTCCCCCTCCCTCGGGGGGTTCGAGACGCCGCCACACCCCGGCCGCCGCACGCCGTCCAGGGCCGGGGCTGGCGCCGCCCGGCAGCAGCGTCAGAACTGGGCTGGCCGGTTCCCGCCGACGCCCTCCACCCCAATGTCCACCGATGACATCCCGCCGTCATCCGAAGCCGGGGACGACGAGACCGACGGCGGCGGCGGCGTCGACGCCACCCCGGTCTTCGTCTGGGGCACCAATATCAGCGTGCAGGACGTCAACGCCGCCATCCTCCGGTTCCTGCGCCACTTCCGTGACCCGCGCGACGCCGGCCGCGTTGACCCGGTCATGGACGAGGGCAAGTACATGCGCGCCATCCACCGCATCCTAGAGCTCGAGGGCGGGGAGTCGCTCGACGTCGATGCGCACGACGTGTTTGACCACGACCCAGACCTCTACAGCAAGATGGTTCGCTACCCGCTCGAGGTGCTCGCCATCTTCGACATCGTGCTCATGGACCTCGTCGCGCGCATCGAGCCGCTCTTCGAGAAGCACATCCAGACCAGGATCTACAACCTCAAGTCGTCCATTTGCTTGAGGAATCTCAACCCATCTGGTAATATATTATTTCTTTTGGCCAAGGTGACAATGTTCGAACTTTAGTTAGACTGTACATTGTGTGATCTGATTAGTTATTTCCTGTTCGCTGTAGATATTGAGAAGATGGTATCCATCAAGGGTATGATAATTCGATGCAGCTCGGTCATACCGGAGCTCAAGGAGGCTGTGTTCCGCTGCCTCGTTTGTGGTTTCTACTCAGACCCCGTCATGGTTGATAGAGGTATGATGCTAATAGACATTTTGATTCATGCAACTCTGACTCGTGACCTTATTTCAATGAATTCCGAAATTCTGTTCATAAATTAATGTGCCTTCAGTTCTTCAGCGATTTCTTAGGTACCGTATTATACAATCATGATGTTGCTCAATTCAATTATCCATGTACGCTGCTTGTCAGGAAATAAATCTCATGCAATTTTTCTCTGAATCCCCTTTGCTCCCAAATATACACCACATCGAAGTAAAGATGCCACTTCATAATGTATTAATCCATATGATAGTTTTCCTTTCTGCTCAGCATACTTATTGCAGAATGACATCAGTGAGAAAGTGTTTTTGTAGTCTATGCAAGGTTTGGGGTGCTTTGTTTTTCGTGATTGTGACTAGCTTTCGTCCTTGGTGAGTTCATCTGGGGAAATGTAGTTACTTGGTAAACTGGTTTGGTTGGTCCCCACACAGCTTTGCCCAGTGCAGGGTGCTCCTCCAGGCTTCCGATTTGGGTACATGGGGCTCAGATCGTTGTCCAGTGTCTGAGCTGCTTGGGAGGCCATGAACCAAACAGCCCCTAATTCCCTTTAATGAATAATGGCAGAGCTTTGGCCTTGTTTTTTTTTTGTCTTGAAGGAGTAGCTGCTTTGAAATGCATACCATCCAGTAGTATATGATACAATTTATATTCAACTCCATATTGATAGAAAGATGTGCATGCCATATGTGGACCATTTAAGTTCGTCTGTTTGTATTGTTTTTGTCAATGTAAAGCTAATATAGTGTGTATTGCCTTACTCAGGGAGAGTAACTGAGCCACACATTTGTCAGAAAGAACAATGTAAAGCCACAAATTCTATGACCCTAGTGCACAATCGATGCAGGTAGCTGTACCTACTTGTCGCCATTTTTGTCTTTGCTAGTATACTCTTAACAGAATCAAAATCATGTTGAATTTAACATTTTTTTTTGCATGACTAGATTTTCAGACAAGCAGATCATAAAGTTGCAGGAAACACCAGATGAGATACCAGAAGGTGGCACTCCACATACAGTTAGTGTTTTGATGCATGATAAGCTTGTTGATGCTGGAAAGCCTGGAGACAGGGTTGAGGTTAGAATTGGAACTTTCTTAGTGATCAGTACCTTAAATCTTGGCATATGGTTCTTGTTTAAGCAAATTGTTAAATTTACTTATTTTGCTTCTATTATAGATAACTGGAATATACAGGGCTATGAGTATTAGAGTTGGACCAACTCAAAGGACAGTGAAGTCTATATTCAAGGTTAAAAATATAGAGTTTTATTGCATTCTCATATTTGAATTTCCTCTTAGCACAACGGGATTAAATCTTGTATATCAGTATTGTCTAATGGTATTCCTTCTTCATTCAGACATATATTGATTGCCTTCACATAAAGAAGACAGACAAGTCTAGGCTTCATGTGGAGGACACCATGGATATTGATAGTTCTAATGCTAGCAAATCTACTGAAGAGGATTTTCTTAGTGATAAGGTATTTTTCAGTACCCATACCTTTCTTCAATGGTGTGTGCTGGATTGTTAGTGTTTTTTGGTACCCAAATCTTTCTTCTATGTTTTCTGCTGCATTCTTAGTAACCCTCTTTTTTTTTTGGTACTGCAGGTTGAGAAACTAAAAGAGCTTTCGAAGTTGCCTGATATCTATGACAGATTGACTAGATCATTAGCTCCAAACATATGGGAGTTGGATGATGTTAAAAGAGGTCTCCTTTGCCAGGTAACTTCATGGAATATTAAGATGTTCTTTTGAAAAGTTTGTGTCATTGCTAACCATAGCATACTGTAAACTGTTCTGTGTCCAGCTTTTCGGCGGCAATCCCTTGAAGCTTCCTTCTGGAGCTAGCTTCCGGGGTGACATCAATATTTTACTTGTGGGTGATCCTGGAACGAGTAAATCCCAGCTTCTCCAGTACATGCATAAACTGTCTCCTCGTGGTATCTATACAAGTGGTAGAGGAAGTTCTGCTGTTGGTCTGACTGCTTATGTTACCAAAGATCCTGAGACTGGCGAAACTGTATGTGTGCCATTAAGTTCACATTATGGCTTTGTTTTCTTTTCCATCTTATTGAATCGCTCCCATGATCTCAACCATGACCTTGTTTACCTTTTTCAGGTTCTAGAAAGTGGAGCACTTGTTTTGAGTGACAAAGGTGTTTGTTGCATAGATGAGTTTGATAAGATGTCTGATAATGCCCGAAGCATGTTACACGAGGTCTGGTTTGCTGAAAATTTTGTACATTATTTGCATGCCAAAATATGATTATCCATGTAAGCTAAAGTCCTTTTGCAATTAATTAATGTAGGTGATGGAACAGCAGACAGTATCCATTGCGAAGGCTGGAATAATTGCATCTTTAAATGCGAGGACATCTGTCCTGGCATGTGCCAATCCTACCGAATCACGATACAACCCAAGGCTTTCTGTAATTGACAACATACACTTAGCCCCAACACTACTTTCAAGGTAACTAACTGAATGGTTGCACGTTTCAAGTGAATGAGTGACATGGAAATGTTAACTCTTGTCACAATTTAATATGCAGATTTGACCTGATTTATCTTATCTTGGACAAGGCGGATGAACAAACTGATAGGCGCCTGGCAAAGCATATTGTTTCGTTGCATTTTGAGAATCCAAATGTAAGATATCTGAC